CCCCCCCCCCCCCCCCCCCCCGCCAGTACTAATCGTCGGTGCCTCCCTCGGTTATCGTGCAATTGGGTCCTCGCCACCTCAGATGATGGCCTATCTGCGAGGGCGAGGAGCACCGCTCAAGGTCAGTGGTAGCGACGTCGAAGGATGAAGGCCGCAAAACGGTAGCCTCCCCCGCTTGATGTCTGTGCGTCAAAAAAGGTAATCGGGTTGAGAGGAAGTTGTGGTCAATTGGTATCCACGAATATTGTACCGCCCGCTCTCAAGCCCGCCCGTTCGTGAAAGCGATGTACGTGGGGGTAAATGCGATTCTCGTCTACCTTTTTTTGTTCGGCGTTTTGCAGCGAGTCATGCTGCTCCTGGATGCCAGGCACGGTTTCAAGAAGGCGGACATCGAGTTTCTTGGGCTTTTGTACGACCCCAAGGGACCTTCGCCACTCGGTAAGACTCTCTTTCAATGTGGTGGACATGAACTCGAACCATGAGGCACCATCTCGTCAGGAAATATGTACTTGAGTGTTGTAGCCCGCGATCGCGGAATTGGTGTGCGCGTCTGCCATGAGAAAACGTTGACAACCTCTGAAGTGACGTGCGTCCTGTGACCTGAGTTCACCGTTTTAGTTGACTGGTCAGTTGACGCGCGAATACACGCGCGGGCAAAAGGTTTTACATAGGGCCCAAATAGTGGGAACATTTTCGGATCACGCCCACTGGCGTCTTTCGAAGAAGCGCCCCCTTCCGACCTGCCCCCCTTCAGGATGCTTTGAAACGACCGCGTGGTCGATAGATTCGTCCTAACGTGCGAGTGCGACCTCCCCCCCCATTCTCTTACAGGCAAGTACCGCCCCCCAAAGATCCAGATCTTGCTGACCAAGTGCGACCTGGTGAAGCGGATAGATCTCGCCCGGAGAGTCGTTTTCGTTCGCCAGCAGCTCGAGGAGGTGAGTGCAGAGCGAGAGCGGGAGGTCAGCGGCTGCGTGCACCTGCTTTTGCACCTTGCAGAGCAGAGACCGCAGAGAACCGGCACAACAAGAATGTGTGCTCTCCTCGGTGCATGACATGCCACAAAAAGGTTGCTGTCTGTCTGCCTGTTGGTGGGGAGAGAGATCTCTCGGCGCACATGTTTCATATGCACTGTGTAGTGCTGCTGTTTCCTCTGGCGCAGCTGCGGGTGTAGAGTACCACACATGACACAAGATAACACACCCCCTGGACCGATTTTCAAAGCTCGACTACTCCACGACGAAGAGGATGAACTAACGAAACGATACATTTTCGGAAAGCTCTCGACGAGATAGTTTCAACGCGCCGTTTTCGGCGCTGTGACTGTTCCTGCAGTTGAGAAATGGAGCTTCGAAAATCGATCAAGGGGGTGTGTTATCTTGTGTGATATACGGTAGACTGGTGCCGGCACAAACGGGACGAAAGCACGCACACACATATACCAACTCCACGACGATGAAGAAGCCAAATGCTTCCCGTGCATCCGCCCCAAGCCTGGAAACGCCATCATCCATCCACGTGCATGTGCGTTGACGGGGGACAGGAACTTCTACCGATATGGACCTTCTGCTTGCGTCCGTTGTACCTTCTCCCAGGGGGCACAGGAGTAACTTGAATGTCTATTCTCTGTTGCGCGCCTGCCTGCGTGCAATTAGGTCTCGCGGCGGCAGACGAACCTGTCGGTCATGACCCTCAGCGCGTTGAAGGGGGCGGGGATGGTCGAGCTGCAGAAAGAACTCGCTTCTTTGGACCCTAAGCCGGTGGCAGCGGCAGCAGCTGCCGTCCCTAGAGATGGCGAAAGTGAAGGCGGCGACGATCGATAGTTGTACATAACCGACAATAATTCAATAAGGGCTTCGTCGGCAGAAGGAGGGCTTGACGGCGGATGGGTTTTTCGCAACTGTTCACGATGATGTCACCCTCTTTAAATGTCTGCCTCTTTGTTTTTTTAGAAGCAGGCAGCCTTGAGGAACTTTGACGGATAGAGAATGAAGTTGGGACGGACATTTCCTCCTGTACACTCGTTTTTAGCGGGGCACCCTCCAAGTGGAAAAAACCGTGGGGTACCCCAACCCGTGGAGGACCCCCTACTCTGCAGCATGGACACCGTCCCTGACGCGGGCTCTCCCCGTCTCCGCAGCGCGCGCATGCTGAAATCGAAATCCTGCTGAATCCTGGGCATGACAACGCGAGGAACAGGCTCTCTCCCAGCGATCAAAGAAAAATCGAAAGCATCATTTCTTCGCAGATCCAAGCATGTGTCCAACGTAGGGTACTCCAACGTCTCCACGCGGGAGTTCCTTGGTATTTGTGTTGCATGCATCATTTATGGTTTGCGACCGCGGGATAAGATTCCTGAGCGTGAGCGAAATTACCTCGAGAAACGGCACCAGCCGACGGGTGAGGGGTTCAGATCGCGGAATTAACTTGAGAGAGTAAAGCGTGCGTGTCCGTCTCCTCACACGCCGCACAAAAAAGCAGGAAAATGACACAACGCCTGCCCAGCGGCGCAGGCACATAGATCCTTCTTTGTGTAGAGCAATCCCGCGCATACGCGTAGACAGCAGCATTCCCAACCTAGCGGGCGAAACCTCTCCGCGCCCCGAAACGATAAAACTGGCTGTTATGTACGATTAGATTACCTCGTTTCCATGTTGACATGGCATGCGATCCGCCCGGAAATCCTAGCAGCAACTCTAAACGCATATCTACACACAACAAGGCTGCTGTTCTAAGGTTTCTCTGTCTTCACGTCGCCCCGGGATCGTCCGAGGTCTTGTTCTGAGCCTCGTCTGCTTTGCCTGAACGCCAACCTTGCCTCAATCTTGGGCAAAAAATAAAGCTCACCGACGAATCCATGTCCAATCGAGGGAAGTGGATCCAACAAGAAATGGCGAGCACGTTCATGGAACTGCACCACCTAGACAAGGGCACAAGGCTAACATGCTCGAGCAGCTTCAGTCCGACGGCCACCATGCAAGCACTCAACGTTAACATTGCTGTTTGATGCCTGCACGCACTCGGACAGCACAACGAAACGCCCAAGCTACATCACGGTCCCGCAACATTGTGCATAGTACCACGACTGCCATTTACTCTACAGTCGAGTGGCACTCACATTGCCTGCATGTGTGGAGCTCGCTGCAACTCGGCCTCACCAGTAACCTCGAGAGGAGGGTGAGACGACGCACGACAGAACAAACTACTTGCGTACCACCTAGTCAAGTGTGTAAACCTGCTTCTGGACCGGACACGTTTCCGCCAACATTGTCCGAGCATATTAAATTGTGCTGCGAGCTCTTATTTTACTTGATGTTGTGTCTCGTGCAAGCTCCGTCTTCTTAATCACGCTCCCACACGAGGTAGTGGGAACCACAACGAGCATGATGGAAAATGAGAGCACCCACAGCTGGTACATAGATAGATATGCACACGGCAGTGCTATGCAGCAGGGGGATTCTTCTTGGCCTCGATGAGCACCCTCCTGTCGTACTCCGCTTTGTTGTTCCTGAAGGTGTTGCGTTGTGTAGCGTTTGGGGAGACATCACGCCGCACCGCGGCAGGTACATACCAGTTCGGTCGATCACAATGGGTTTATATTCGTTTGCATCGTGGACATGCTGCCCGAGACTTCAATTGAATGGCTTCAACCGCTCAACATGTACCAGGCATACTCGCTGTTGCTTTATTTACTGCAAGGTGGATACTGGCGCCAGAATAGATTGAACAAAAACACAACACGCACCGACACAGATTGGACGAAAACAACTACGTGTCTCTGCCGGTCTGTCTGGTGAAGAAGTTGTTACAACTGATGGGGTGGGGGCTGGCGACGGCGCGATTAACAACGGTAACTCTTGATAACGAGTGCCTCTAGCTCAACACGGAAATCGACTCAATAGATCAACACGTCGGCAAAATGCTCTTATCAGTAATATTCATTGTAACCTCTTACGGTTGAAACGGCCACTACAACCACACTGAGCAGGAGTCGCAGCCACACAAGCCGCGCGCGTGGATTATTAAATAATAATTTAAGAGCAAAAGCCGGACAGCAGGCCTCTCAATCCCGGCGACGCACAACCATCAGCACTCAAGTACTAGCAACAGAACAACTACTCGCATAGCGGTAGCGTAGGCCAGCGCCACTCACACAAACAGTTGGTAGGCCTCTGACTGGGCAGGGTCGTCGGGGTTCGGATTGTCCAAAAGTTCGAAGATCCCATGCAGCATCTGCTTGATGGTGATGCTTGGTCTCCATCCCTGGCCCTCATTCAGAATGCTGCCATCAACAAAGCCATTGGAAGGTAAAGTGGCAAGGCTGCGGTTCACGGCGGAAGATACAGTCTACACGACGCTGCCCTCAAGACGCGGCAGGTCCCGTGCATGGTGGAAAAGCTACGGGATAGACCGGAGCAGTGTAATCAGCATGCTGTGCCTTCCTTTTGACAATGTAAATTATCGTCAAAGCACGAAGTGCTTTAGGAAGTAGCAGCCACACAAGCGCCAGACAGCAATGTGCGCTTGGCGCAGGAAGGGGAGTACGCAAACTTTTCGATTACACAACGCAGCAGTAGGACGCGCCAATGCTAGTAGTTGCTGGGTTTTTGACACTCGACCCGAAAAGGGAGGACGGCGCCAACGAACCGAGCATGGACGGGATTTGCGGCGGACTACCTGCAACGCCGTGAGGAGCGTCTACATACGCGCATACCTTTTTTCATCTCACGAATGGTGGCACCTCAAAAAATACGTGGAGGAGGGACACTTGAATATGTACGCAGGGTACGAGTCCCGGGCAGCACGCTCGCGGCAAGGAAGAGGCAACCCCGCGCTAATGCTGCACTTCCTGCCGGTGATGCCTGCAGCGTTCGGCAATGAGCCGAAAAATTGATACATTGACAACGCGCCGAGGACTGCGATGTATTTCAAAACGCTCGACTACCAGACGCTTCCCATAGAGCGAAACGAGACACCGAAGGTAGGCAGAGAAAAAAAATAAGAGGTTCCTGGCGCAAACTCGAGAATTCCCTACACGTTTTGTGGCGACAGTCACGACAGCGATATCTACTCGCCACTCGGGAATCGTACTTACCTGAGGCAGATGGTGCCTGACGGGTAAACGTTGGGGTGGAATAGGGGTGGCACGAACTTGCACTTGGGCGGCTGAGGGGGAGCGGCGAGCAGAGCACGAGCGCACGAGCCAGGCAAAAATCAGCGCGGGCGGGAAAGCATATTACAGCACGACAGCAAATCACACACGGGATCGCAAAACTACAACCGGCGCGAACTGACTAACCACAATGCAGGCTCAGCCTGCCCTTTTTCTGTGAGCGTGAAGTCGGACATTGACAAATATTTATGATACAAACCTTTACCATTTGAGGGATAACGCGCTCCAAACGTTTGAAGTACGGTGAGGTACCTTTGAGGGATAGTCTTCGGTGAACTCCATGTGGATCCGGTACTCTCCGCCCTCCCAGTTGGTATTCTTCTGCGAAACCGCGAGGGGGTCATCCCGGCGCCGTGCAGCATACAGGAGTGTAGCAAGGTCACAGACGAGAGGGATGTCGTTTTAAGCGGCGTGCACGATATCACACTCGGCAGCAGAAGCGCACGACGTTCAGGTCAAACTTGGAGGCAACACTTGCCGATTCACCCGGCGAGAGAAAAACAGCAGACGGTGTTGTTTGCCTGGTGCCCGAAAAGGCACCAAAGGGCACGACCATTGCTACCGACGCCGTAGTAAAGCTGCACGGCTACTGTTGCCGCGGCGCTCGTGTTCTGTGGGACACGACCAAGGAGCCACGAGGACAGACGAAGCCGACGTCAAGCGGTAGAAAAATGGCGGGAATACGCCAAACAGCTCTGGATTCTTGAGCAGTGGCTGTTGAAAACAGTCGTGCGAGGTTTCAAACGTCAAAGAGGAAACGCCGTACTACATAGATTCGCCTGCCGCAGAAGTCTCTTTGATACAAGTACGGGGGGATGCATGTTGAAAGAAAAAAAACATGAGGCATTAAACTGCTGCCTTGTTTACGATAAAATTGGTGTCGCATCCATAGCGAGATGTGTTTCTAATTTACCGCAGTTGTAACCGTTCTCCTCACCGGTCCTGGAAGGCCGCACTCCCACTTCATGATCGACGACGATCCATCAGGATTGGCCGCAAGCCTCGTCCACCAGCCCTGTCACCACCGTGTGCACACATTTAGCCAAGTGCAAACAACGATTTTTTATCTCACCTCCCGGACATAGGGGTCCAACAATAAATATAACCTATTTTCGCGCGGAGAGAGGTATCAAAGCAAGCGTAGATAATAATGGATGGAGCCTACGCCACCACAGAGGTCACCAGCGCACACGCTCACACCTCACCCGACACCACCAGCCAGCGAGGGGATAACTGAGAGCGCTGTTTACCTCTCATAATCATCAGCTACATGTAGCTGCTGCTGTGCTGCTGTTGCTGCTGCCGAGCACGATGGGTGTGGTGCACTTGCTTTCCTCGCTTTCGCTGCTAGCAGCTGGCAACGGGCTCTTAAAAGATCGCCCCCGACGCCTCCTACGATGTGCATATTTTGTCAGCGATGCCAGCAGGTAAGTGCAACCACAAAAACACCGTACAAGCTGGGCCAGCCAAGAAGCTCACTTTCGTTCTTCCGTATCTTTTCCTGTCGTTTCCACGAATTTGGGCTTGAAAATTGGTGGCTACTCTTACGAGACCGTACGGAAAGGCAGGTGCGAAAAAAATTCGAAAATGTGTTGATTTAGATACTAAACAATCAATTGACGGGGAAGTGGGGGATACTTCCGGTACTGAAATCAGCATAAACAACGTTTCACAGAATAAACTGAAATTTGGGGTGCAATTACCTGGGAGCATTACGAGAAAAATGATGGTCGTTTCAAGGTTCACATCATCTTCCGTCAAAAGTTATGGCCTCTTAGACTCCGATACAACACAAAACATAGCTGAAGAATGTGAGGTTATCGCACTTGTCTCGCGAGTTTGACGAGTTGGTATCTGAAATTTTGACATTTGAGAGGTATCGGAAAAACAAACACCTTGAATACGGGTGCTCTATGTTTTGTACTGTTTTAGTCCTCCGATCCACTACAAGAGGATTCCCATCGTCACATAGACGAGGCTACCCCACGAAAAAAACTAAAAAACTAAAAAGCACCCGTAGTCAAGGTGTTTGTTTTGCCTCCCTACCACATGTCAAAATTCAGATTCCAACTCGGAAAACTCGCGAGAGCAATCGCTCTCAACCATATCATGATTTTCTTGGCTGGCCCAGCTTGTATTGAGCCGCGGTTCGACTCAATACCTTGCAGTAGTCTTATCTGCGATGCTGATGGTGCACGAATCCCGACACACACACCAGCGTGAATTCGTTTGTGGTGCAGCTACGCGTGCACCAGAGGGACAGCCGGCGTGCGACGGGAGCGACGATGGTTGTATGTGCGGCCACTGTTCAATTTTTTGCAATGCGGTTATTTCCGTTTTGATGCATATGCACGAAGAAACAAAATGTTAAGTCTTCCCACTGTGCGGACGCAAACAAGGCATCTGGAAGAAGCACACATATGGGGAACCTACCTGGCGGCGAGCGTATCACACATCACACCGTCGAGGAGCACGACCAGCAGCGTAGATAAGGATTGTGACACGACAGATGGAAAATATTGCGTCAGGCTCACAACGTGCCCGCCACATTCGTCTCAAGCCTTCCGAGTTTCCCGCCCAAGTGCAAGCAAGCAGTCCAGCATGATCCAAACACAACAAAAAGCCGGCCATGTGAAGTCATGACTTTGATGCGAGCGGCCGAGAGGCCCTGCTGCAGTCCTGCAACAGCAACAACAGCATGCAGGGCACGGCCTTCGTTGCGAAGACAGTCAGCAGCGCGGCGCAAGTACACAATCTGAACCTATCCCGCGGGGAACCATCCTGATAATGCACAGCAGCAGCAGTAGCAGACCCTCATGCCCTCGACGGATTCTCTCGATGATGGTAGGTGTGGTCTGGACTTGTGGGAAGGTGTGTTTTTTGTTATTTGTTTGATCATCGTTCTGCGCTTTTTGAAGCAGTTGGTTGGACCCACTCAACATCAATAAATACCCGCCAGGTTACACATGGCGCATGCCTACAGTATACCCACGGTGCACAGGTCGTGTAGGCCCGGCCCCTCCTGGTTTTCACAGCTGGTCACAGACCAGCGTCTCAGCGGTGATGCGTTTGTTGGCGGTGTTCTTGCATCTGTCTCTGTCGGTGTTTCTTGTCCTGGTTTGAATCTCTCTCTCGCGCGCGATCTCCGCTTGTGTGCACGCCTTTTCGCGTAGAAACCCCGGGGTTGGGGAGCAAAATCGCCTACGAATACATGTTACATGTGCCGGTGAAGTNTGGCGCATGCCTACAGTATACCCACGGTGCACAGGTCGTGTAGGCCCGGCCCCTCCTGGTTTTCACAGCTGGTCACAGACCAGCGTCTCAGCGGTGATGCGTTTGTTGGCGGTGTTCTTGCATCTGTCTCTGTCGGTGTTTCTTGTCCTGGTTTGAATCTCTCTCTCGCGCGCGATCTCCGCTTGTGTGCACGCCTTTTCGCGTAGAAACCCCGGGGTTGGGGAGCAAAATCGCCTACGAATACATGTTACATGTGCCGGTGAAGTACGGCCATCTGCTCTCGGAGCACGACGAAACCGGTGTGGAGAAGAGCGCGCAATCTTTCTTCTACCTCAGAAGCGAACAGATCGTCAATCGGTGCCCTGTAGATCTCGTTCTGGTCCAAAAGGTGTGCTTAATAGGCTTCCTCGTAATCAAGTTTTGGGTTTTGGGGCCCCTGAATCGCGGCGCAAGGGAGCCTTTTTGTTCCTCCTGGGAACGATGGGAAAAAGTGTTGCTCGCTTCGCTCGCTCCGCGGCTCATCATAATCATCACCACATCTCCCCGGTAGTTTTTATACTTCTAAAAAGAAGTTACCCCTAGATAGCACTGCTATCTGGGGGTAACTTCTGTTAATGACAAGTACAGAAAGTTCTAGAAAGTTTGTTTCGTGACCAAGAGGATAGATCGAGAGTCATCCACCCCGCGATTGCTTAAAGCAACCGAATTGTAGAGGCGAAGGCATTTCGCCAACATGAACATATTACGAGCTGGTACAGCTGGGGCGTGAGGAGCTTTGCGTGCAATGGTCTACATACACGCACACATCGACTGTCGTATAGATGACGTAAGATAGCACACCCCATTGGACCGATTTTCAAAACTCGAGTTCTCCCCACGGGCCGGAGATAATGTACGCACCAAACGATACAATGTTAGAAAACCCTCGACGAGACGGTACCGACGCCGTGATTGTCGGCGCCGCCACTCATTGGGTTATGTAATCAAGCCTTCAACATCGGGCCAGCAGGGGGGTGATATCTTCTGTCATGGACGATGGTGGTCTGCAACACTACGGTACATAGCCCTCCATATCAAGCAAAAGACGCTTTTCCAATCCTCAACTCCGCTCACAAATGGCCTGTCTGGATCCCTCCTCCAGTCTTTTCTCTCCTGCTTCAGCCGCGCTGCTGCGATTCCGCTCATCGGCTGCCTTTGTTGGATGATGTGATGACGATATTCAACAAGCAGTTGCCTCTTCAAAGTTTTGATGCAGTTGCCTTCGAACTGTTGATATTTTAAAAAATTCTCAAGCTCGTTGGTGACCGCGGAGCTAGGATGGCCACGGGAACCGCCGACCTCCTAAGCCACTGATTCGTCCTATTCGATGGCCCTTGCGGTGTTGGTAGAGACGAGATCACACAGCCAGCAGCACCTTCGCACATTCGCACCTTCACATCGCCGAGGGGGGTCGCAGACTAGAAGACTAGTTGGCGTCCCCTGTCCTCGGAGCATCATGAGCGTACGAGCGTCGGAGCTACGAAGTAACGACTCACTGGACTGCACTAATTGTACAACTTTCAGCACCTCTAGGGACGGTGAATAGGGAAAAACAGTGGGCGAAACCCAGCGGTTCCGTAGGTACTCTAGCTCCATACAACCAACCAGCTTTATTTTCAGCAGATTTGAAAGCAGCAGCAACCCTTGGAGCAACCCGAAAATGAGCGGAATTGCCGCAGCCCGGCTGACGAAGGAGAGTACAGACTGGGATCCGAACAGGCCGTTCGTGAGTGGAGTTGGCGAATGGAAAAACGTCTATTGTTACCTCTGCTTTGCTTTGGAGAGCTGTATGTACATCAAGTACCTCACGTGTATGTGTACAAAGACCATTCCGAGAACGCTCCTCGATTGATTGCCAGCTGTTACCAGCTCGTAGCTCCTAGTTGGCGAGTCATACGTTGCCTTGGCCTGTACAATTTCGATGCTACAGGCGATTGCGCGGTGGAGGTCTCTCGATCTTTCTTCCTAACCTTCGCAACTCTGTTCAACAACGGGCGGTACTACAGCAGTTTTGTTCAAGTCAGAAGTATTTCTGTCAACATACCGTAAGTGAGAAGATTCCAGTGAAGATCGTATTGTGGCGTGGTCTACAGCAGTAGTAGTACAGCAGTACAAGGAACAACAACACACACATGACAGCGCTCCCTCCCTCTCTCTCTCTCTCTCTCT